AGTTCAGTCATTGAGCAACGAACATTTCTCAAAACACAGTTGAATACTGTGAGTTGAATTCTAACAATTGTATATTTCCTCGTAAGCCTGGTGAACCTGGATTTATTCCCTTATATATAACACTGTGCTTAAGATTGAACCAAGATGCATCTTTTACTAATATAATAATGTTTTTCTGACCATTTTGCCTTTTATATGAATTTATAAATTTATATAAATTAAATGAAGTAAGGAATTTTAACGTAAATATATTAACTGCAACTTATACAAAGATACGATTCTGCAAGTCTGTCTGACTTACACTATATTTAGGTCTACAACAAAATATTCCATGGAAAAACAAACATTAAACCGGTTTATAGGGGAAATATAGTTAACAATGGTCTTATTCTGTGCACCTTGGGTTGAGCGAGTTCTTCTCGTTGATTAGCAGACAATGGAAGATTAAACTTGACTCTTGTTGCAACTGAATAAACTTGATTGGTACAAATTAAAAAATCCACCAGCAAAAATTAAGCTAAAATAATTTTTTTATTTAATACATTATACTAAAATGGCAATGCAGCAGGGGGTTCCAAATCAGAATGATAAAGTATAACATAAAACATATTTTACTTGCTATTTTATGTTTTATTTTACTGAAATAAAGTCATTTGTGGCAAAATTTAGCTTTGTCTTAAAATCAGTTTTATATTGATTGGTTATTTATTTAAACCTACCCTAACTAATTTATATAGACAAGTTATATTAACACGAGAAAATCTATTCTTTCTTCTGTTGATCAGAACGATTATGCTGTTCAGAGTTTTTATTTCTCTCCATTCACATGTGAATAAGCAGGCAGAGTTACACAGCTATTTGTGGATATACTGCCCTGGAAAAGGTCCATTCTCTGGCACTGCTCGCTGGAACACGGAGTCTTTGAGTTAGGACATCTGGTCAATTCCATGGGAGGAACGTCTTGCTTTCAATTTGAAGGTCAAATAGTCATTTCAGTAACTTGCAGGTATCCCCGATGGAGCCAAACAGAAAAAAAATAAAGGCTTTTAACTACACATGTCAATAATGAGCACAGATATACAAACAGATAAAGTGTATCTTTTTGTAAGCTTATGGGAAATACAAAAGACTGAAGGTCACATGCCATTAGGCACAAAATACCTCTATTGTAATTTACTGTATGGTCTTTCTTAATCAATTATTTTTTTAAAATAATTTTATTTTTATTTAATAATTAGTTAGATTTTAGAGTTAGATTTTTTTTGTCTGTGCAATCAGTTTGCAGTGATGGCCAAGATTAAAATTAAATTGTCATATTTTATATTTGTGTTTCAAAATTCATTTTTTAAAATTCATTTTTAATCTTGCCATAATTTTGAAGAGAATAGTTTTGTTCTACTTCCTGATATCATACTGTACCTTTATTTACACATACACGCAATTATTATTAAATCTGCTAGGTTAATCATAAACATTAGGTTCAATGGATGCTGTCACTCTGGTGAAGATTTGAATGTAAAAAGTTTTTTTTTTTTCCAAGAGCTTTGGTTTAAAAAATGTTTTTAATTCATTGTTACCTCATAAGACATTTAGGATCAGAATGACAAAATACCTGTTAAAACATCAGTCCCATTTTTCCCTTTTGCTTTTCTTTATACCTTACATGAGCACACTATAGTCACCAAAACAACTTTAGCTTAATTAAGCAGTTTTTGTGTATAGATCATGCCTCTAAAGTCTCACTGCTCAATACTCTGCCATTGAGGAGTTAAGTCACTTTTGTTTCTGTTTATGCAGCCCTAGCCACACTCACACAGACTGCTTGAAAAATGGTTTCAATATCAATCAGATGTTATCTCCTGCTCTATAAAGTGAACTTTAATCACATACAGGAGGCTCCTGCAAGGTGTAGCAATCTACTAATAATGTTGAAGAAAAAACTTTCTTAATTAAACAGAATTTGCAATGAAAGAAGCGTAAACATTAGATCTTACTTTACAGGAAGTGTTTAGGAAGGCTGTGCATGTAACTTACAGAGAGGTGTGACTAAGGCTGTATAAACAAAGTGATTTAACCCCTTAAGGACACATGACGGAAACATTCCGTCATGGTTCCCTTTTATTCCAGAAGTTGTGTCCTTAAGGGGTTAACTCCTAAATGCCAGAAAATTGTGCACAACTACTTCATTAGGCTAAAGTAGTTTTGGTAACTATATTGTCCCTTTGATTATTATATGCAACCCCTGGGCCTCTGTCTTTATTTGTATTTATAAATTTTTCATTCTTTAGTTGAATGTCAATAAAAATGCACTGCAATTTATTTCTTCTCTGTCCATGATGTCTGCTATTTTCCCTTCTCAGGACATACACTTCAAGACACTTTGGTACTCAGGACAACACTAGTTTGTTTCCTGAATCCTGAACCAGACTTTGCAAGAGAGACTGATAGATTGTAGATAAATTAGCATGGCATGGAAATAGACCCTTTCTTAACCCCTTAAGGACACATGACATGTGTGACATGTCATGATTCCCTTTTATTCCAGAAGTTTGGTCCTTAAGGGGTTAAAGGACCACTACAGACACCCAGATCACATCAGCTCAATGAAGTGGTCTGGGTGCCAGGGTCCCCAGGTTTTAACCCTTTAACATAGCTGTTTTAGAGAAACTGCTGTTTACATTGCAGGGTTAATCTAGCCTCTAGTGGCTGTCTGATGTGAAAATCGCATTAAGCACGCAGAACGTCCATAGGAAAGCATTGATTAATGCTTTCCTATGGGTTGTTTGAATGCGCGCGTGGCTCTGGACGCACATGTGCATTGCTCCACTCGGGCGCTAATGTTGGAGGGGGAGGAGAAGTCACCAGTGCCGAGGGAGCCTGTCGTTGGATTAAGGTAAGTGGCTGAAGGGGGTTTAACCCCTTCAGTCCAGTGGGAGGGGGGCCCTGAGGGGGGGGGGACCTAAGGACAATATAGTGCCAGGAAAACGAGTTTGTTTCCTGGCATTATAGTGGTCCTTTAAGCTTTACCTGTTGCAATAGATTGCCAAATATTGTGGTTCAAATAACAAACCGTAGTAATTCTTATTTGTTAAAATCAGAAATTTCAAGAAAAAAAAGTGAAAGAAAAGGATTAAAAAAAATAAACCTGCAAAGTGAGAACAACTTTGTCCTAGAAATGTCTATTACAAATATTTTTAGTACCGTTTTGCTCTCCCTAGAATATATTAGGCAAAGCCATAAGCAAGAATTGTGTATATAGTTGTTCATGTACTTTGGTAATAAAAGTTATTTTAATTGTACCTCAGAGGACCAATATTTGAAAGTTGTTTTTTTTTATTAATATCCCATTTGGTTTGTATCTCTCTCTCTCTCCCCATTTCGATACAAGGCCAAAGTGGGCAGCACATTGCTTAAAACATGGAATTATGCCATCTTGGCACTCAACGAGTGTGTAATCCAATACATGCTTCATATCACACGGAGAGGCATAACTGATACAGGGTGTCAAATAGTTTCTCCAGTATGAAACCAATTGTTTTCGACTTACGCTCCCACCTCTTTGCTGAGTGTGTTATCATTTTATGTTATGTAAATGTCACTGATATAGCACTATTACATGTAGAAATCAGACCCCAGCTGTAGAAAACAGTGCTGGATGGCTGTGTGGACTGGAGAATGTCACAGTGAGTGACAGCAACAGGTCCAGTTTCCTCTTGTTTTGGGGCCCTTGATCTCCTTCCAATTCTGAGGAATGTGGGTCATAGGTCACATAAGCACAGTTTGTCCATGCTCCTGTTTTCTAGATGCGAGGTGCAGCTGGCCTTAGTTTATAGGTACCTTATAGAATGTAGACTTTTGAAAATGTTAGGCAGAAGGTCTTTTTATTGTATTCACTTATAGGAAAATTGTGCTACCATGTTAACCAGAAGAGTAAACAAAATTCTTTTTTAGAGTATTTGAGGTAATTTCTTCAGGTACGATTCAAAGAATTTGCATAATTTGCAAAGACCTCTCTGACAGTGACATCGCCGCTGAGGGTCTGGTGACCAGGAAAGGCAGGCAAAAATTAGTTTTACTTACAGTGATTGAAAAAAGTATTTAATCCCCTACTGATTTTGAACGTTTGCCCACTGACAAAGAAATGATCAGTCTATAATTTTCATGGTAGGTGTATTTTAACAGTGAGAGACAGAATAACAAAAAAAATCCAGAAAAACGCATTTCAAAAAAAGTTATAAATTGATTTGCATGTCAATGAGTGAAATAAATATTTGATCCCCTATCAATCAGCAAGATCTTTGGCTCCCATGTGTCTTTTATACAGGTAATGAGCTGAGATTAGGAGCACTCTCTTAAAGACACGTACATGTATAAAAGACACCTGTCCACAGAAGCAATCAATCAATTAGATGCCAAACTCTCCACCATGGCCAAGACCAAAGAGCTGTCCAAGGATGTCAGGGACAAGCTTGTAGACCTACACAAGGCTGGAATGGGCTACAAAACCATCGGCAAGTAGCTTGGTAAGAAGGTGACAACAGTTGGTGCGATTATTCGCAAATGGAAGAAACACAAAATAACTGTCAGTTTCAATGATCATGAGAACCATGAGGAATAAGCCCAGAACTACACAGGAGAATCTTGTTAATGATCAAAAGGCAGCTGGGACCATAGTCACCAAGAAAACAATTGGTAACACACTACGCCATGAAGGACTGAAATCCTGCAGTGCCCGCAAGGTCCCCCTGCTCAAGAAAGCACATGTACAGGCCTGTCTGAAGTTTGCCAATAAACATCTGAATGATTCAGAGGAGAACTGGTCAAATGAGACCAAAATCGAGCTCTTTGGCATCAACTCAACTCGCCATGTTTGGAGGAGGAGGAATGCTGCCTATGACCCCAAGAACACCATCCCCACTGTCAAACATGCAGGTGGAAACATTATGCTTTGGGGGTGTTTTTTTGTTTTTGTTTTTAGGACTGGAAATGTTTTATTTCTGCTTTACAAAGGCTGGTTTGCAACTTTTTTGTTTAACCCCTTAAGGACACATGACATGTGTGACATGTCATGATTCCCTTTTATTCCAGAAGTTTGGTCCTTAAGGGGTTAAACCTGTATATACAAAAGAGGCACAAATCCATAGAGAATGCAATCACGGTCTCCAGAATTGTGTTTTTTTTTTCTCACTTCTTCAAACATCCACTTGCAAAAACTGGCAAGTACCTGGGTTTGTCCATCACCGAATATCACTTAAAATTATGTTGAAATGGCCTTAAAATAGGAAGCAAAGTCCGGTTGTACTGAAGATACTTTTTCAAGATGTTTTTGTATTAGTCCATTTAGATCATCTTTTACCTCATTCGCTCTAGCTTTAACCTTTTTCTTGCAAACTGTATCCGAAATTGGTGGATTGAATGTCATCCCGTTGATTGTGTAATCTGCAAAAAGTTCTACTGTAGATTTGTGACTTAGTTCCGCTCTGAGACCTTCTGAGCCTTCAGATGGAGCTCCGGCACAGAGGTGAGCAGCAAATATTCGCACTACAGGATGATAATGCCTCCGCAAGCAGTACAGCTCCCACAGCGCAGTGTTCTGGGCATTGCAGTATTCTGGCTCATCCAGCTCCGGTAGGTAGAGGCTGCTGCCTTGGGACTCGTTGTCAAGCAGGATGTCGGTCTTTGGGAATGTTTGCATAATTCCTCTATTGGTTGACAAAATCCCAATGCAGGAGTCTGGGAGTACGTGCAGAGCCAGTGTGGATAGCTGCTTTAAGAAAGAGAGGGCTCTCTGCTGGGTTACTTGCTTCCTAAGCTTGGCAAGCATCACTTCCAAGCATTGAAGGGCTATCAGAATGTCGTCATTGTTAACAACTGCATGGAGCTTAAGTAATGTTTTATAAAGGTGTGTATAGAATTTCAGGTGATCAATATTCAGAACATCACCTTGCCCAGAAAGGATATTAAATGCTGTCTTGACGCAGTGCAGACTTTCTCTGTAGTTGAGATCCCCAGAATCAATGAGAGTATAAAGGACCTTGAGAAGATCATCAAAAAATTCTATGTTGATAAGATGAGCAAACTTTGCAAGGCCTTCCAGAACAGCAGGTAGGAGTACAGACTTCTGCGCTCTCTTCAATATTCTGAAGAAGGTGAGAAAAACGATGTTCAGCGTCTCAGTGTACAGCTTCAACTTCTTCTCCTTGTTTTCAGAGGCCTCTGCTTCCAGTAAGTCTTTTTCCAACTTTTCCTCGGCTTTCCTCCACTTTCTCTGCATTCTTGAGAGATTTTTCTTCTTTTCTTTATAAGACATGAATTTTTGTTTCGGGGCAATATCTTCAGTGTCTTTTTTTACTTCAACCTCCTTAATCTGCAAGTTAAGCAAGATGTTGAGAACCTCAGGACGAACATCGTAATTATGGCTCTTCACCAGGCCAGAAATTATTTTTACTGCAGCCAAAGAAGTATGTCCAAGCTTATCCTGTCTGAGCATTTTTTTTACAGCCTCAAAGCATATTTCTGAAATCGCTTGATCATCCCAGCCTCTGTGTTGAGTCGTTCAGTGTCCTTGCTGTGTTCAGGTCCCTTGCGATTCGTTTGCCAGGGATGTTTTTAGTCTCTTGTATCTGCTAGTGGCAGCCTCAAGTATATGAAAGAGGAAGCTTGTTACTCGAGTCCGTTGCACTTCTGTGCTTATTCAGGGTTAGAGTCCCGATTGAGTTCCCTCAGATCTGCCGGTGACCATGTGAGACGTTACCTCAGGTATTGCAGGTGTGAGCCTTGCTTACATGCTGAACGTTTCCTCCTTAGAGTTGTCTGGTGTGCGGCAAGAGTGTGTGTGTCTGCGGGCTGCTTATTCTCCCGCTGGTGATGGATGCGGCGGCCATTTTGTTTTTTGCCATGCGGTCCCTAGTTGCTCAGTTTGTCGCTCAGGCTTCATAGGTGGTCACTGCTTCCCCGGTGGGGTCCGGGATAACCCCCCCGGCCCACAGGGGGGGTGAACGGGGCCCTCGCTAAGTGCGTGGGAGGTCCCGCCGGACTAAGCACGGGAGACCGGCCGCATCTCCCGCCAGAGCCTCACGACAGGCCGCAATCCCAGTCATCCAGCAATCATCCTCGCAGGACGGGGGTCGGTATTCACTCTGAAAGTTGTGTTTAGGTTCCCCCTCGTCTTCTTGTAGCTGCGGTGCGGTTATTCAAGAGAGATAAGGTTGTTTTGAGCTGGATATTGGGGATTCATAGAGGAGCTGAGGTGCCCCACGTCCAGCCAGCTCAGCAGTCAGGCCCCCCAGTGTTTTTTTAATAAGAGGACAGTACAAATGCACCGCATCAAAGGGAAGATGGTCAGGGCCATGCACCATCAAATCTTGGGTGAGAATCTTCTTCCCTCAGCCAAGACTTTGAAAATGGGTCGTGGATGGATATTCCAGAATGACAATGACCCAAAACACACATCCAAGGCAACAAAGTAGTATCTCAAGAAGAAGCACATCAAGGTCCTGAAGTTGCCTAGCCAGTCAACAGACCTTAATCCCATAGAAAATCTGTGGAGGGAGCTGAAAGTTCTAGTTGCCAAACGTCAGCCTTGAAACCTTAATGACTTGGAGAGGATCTGCAAAGAGGAGTGGGCCAAAATCCCTCCTGAGATGTGTGCAAACCTGGTGGCCAACTACAAGAAACGTCTGACCTCCGTGATTGCCAACAAGGGTTTTGCCACCAAGCACTAAGTCAAAAGGGTCAAATACTTAATTCACTCATTGACATGCAAATCAATGTATAACTTTTTTTGACATGCGTTTTTCTGGATTTTGTTTTGTTTAACAATAAAATTATAGACTGATCATTTCTTTGTCAGTGGGCAAACGTTCAAAATCAGCAGGGGATCAAATACTTTTTTCCCTTAATGTACCTGAACCTGTCACTCTCAGACGCTGCTATGCTCTCCCTGCAGGTCCTTAGACGCTGCTATGCTCTCCCTGCAGGTCCTTTTCCACTCCTGGCGCTTCAGCTGCCAGGAGCCAACATCACTGTCATACTTTCCTGCATGCATGAGAGCACAGCATTGAAGTCTATGGAGGAACCCGCTGGTCCTATGGAGCTTATATCCTTGCAGCCATCAGTGATAATGACGGGGGATTTGACATGGCTTGACTATGGTACCTCTGCTCAGTGTCAAGTAGTTGTAGGAGAAATACTGAGACAGCCCCAACCTTGTCTCAGTATATATTTAGACTGGGTTGAAATTTCAGTGAAATTTCAAAACAATCAATATGATTATGTTTACAAAATATTCATTTTGCAGGGGTTGACGGCGCCACTTTCAGATGTGAAGCTGAACATGTATATGTAGACATCAGTTATATTGGAATATAGTAGTACAATTAAAACAGGCAAACAAGTGTCAGGTGGGGAAAGCTTACTGGAAGTGATAAAAGTCTGCTCTGCTTCCCAAACCCACAGACAGATATCAGATGCTACAGTTTCCCTCCCAGACACAGGAACCATTCAAAAATATACATAATATAGTACCAGTACATCTGATCTGACTTGAAAGAGAAAAATCAATAGCTCCACTGGCTAACCAACTGAAAATGGTTATAAGCAGGGCCAGCTTTAGCGGTGTGCGAGCTGTGCGGCCGCACAAGGAATCATGGCAGCAGGGGTGCCAGCCAACACAGCTCACAAATTCAGGGGCCGGTGGTAAAGAGGCAGGGCAAGAAACATGGAGATGGGGCGGAGCTAAATCGGAAGCAGGGACAGGGCTAAATGGGCAGCGGAGGCAGAGCTAATTGCAGCCTCTACACTGCCCAGTTATCCTGCTTCCCCAACAAGCTTCCCCCTCCAGAGCATAATGGAAAAAGGTACCTGTCTGTGTGTCAGGGGCATCACTAGGGGGAGGGCATTGCCCCCCTACATCATGCATTGCCCCCAACCCCCTTAGGCTCCCCTAGTGAAATTGAAGCCAGGAGCACTGAGTCTCCATACACAAGCTGCAGCAGCACAGTGCACAGAGGTGGGTGGAATGCCCACATGGGCCAAAGGGGGCACTGTGCTGGAAGGAACCTCCTCGGTCACAGAGAGCAGTGCAGGGGAGAGACAGGGAGAGGAAGCTAAGCTCTGCACAGAGGCATCCAGACAGCTGCTGGTAAGTGTAAGTCTGTGTGTGTGGTTCAGTCTCTGTGTGTGTGGGGAGGGGAGGGGGGAATTCAGTCTGTGTGTGTGTGTGTGTCAGTCTATGTGTATGGGGGGGGGCTCAGTCTGTGTGTGGGGGGGTCAGTATGTGTATGTGTATGGGTCAGTTTGTGTGTGGGGACAGTTTGTGTGTGTGTATTGGTCAGTCTATGTTTGTGTATTGGTCAGTCTGTGTTTGTGTATGTGTCATTCTGTGTGTGTATTGGTCAGTCTGTGTGTGTATGGGTCAGTCTGTGTGAGGGGTGTAGCGGATCATGGGTAACCCGACTGGTTACCTCCGCTAATTCCTTCCTTTAGCCACTCAACTGAGTTTTTTCACACATGGCTTTTATGCACAGACCCCTAATACAGGGTTTCCAATCTCAGAATCCTCTGTGCCTGAGAGATAATTGCGTGAGAAAAACCCATAATTTAATTATACAAAATATACAGTACCCCAAAAGTGTCCCCACCATACTCAGAAACCCTGCAAAAAGTACATCCCCAGTTAGCCCTGATCTGAGTGTATAACATATACAAAGGTCACTCAGATCGGTTCGGTGAAATGGGAATGCAATTGAGATGAAGTTTTGGCCGGCCAGACATGAGGCGCTAGCCCAAAACGGTTCCAGGAAAATAGGTGCCCTGGAATCTCTTAATTTCAGGATACGAATACTCCCCCTGTAAGGTAGTTCATATCTCTTGAACGTCGTTCGTATAGGTGGTTGGGAAAGAGAACAGGCAGCGATCTAAGTGTTACAGGCATTTGTGGGCGTGCCTAGCCGAAAAGAGTTCCAGGCACTCAATGACCAAGTACCGCTGCCCACGTTCAGGAGGCAAGATGGCCACATTCTTTTGTTTGTCACGTGTTTTCGGTTGAATATGAATATATGAATATATATATGAAATGGCGGCCACCCAGGGGAAGCATTCATTAATTACTTCCCTTGCGGTTTAGCACTTAAGTTGCTGGTATAAACGTTCTAATGGTGTACAGGGGTGGTCCTCGTTCGGGAGACAAATGGATTTTGTTCATATGAAGTACTCCCAGACTGAAAAGGAGTAAAACAACCGAAATAAGGGGGAAACACACGGATAGGTGGTACATTCTGCTAAGGGGGGCAGTCTCTGTGTGTGTATGGGTCAATCTGTGTGTGGGGGCAGTTTGTCTGTGTGGGGGGGCAGTCTGAGTGTGTATGGGTCAGTCTGTTTGTATGGGTCAGTCTGTGTGTGGGGGGTTTCAGTCTCTGTGTGTGTATGGTTCAATCTGTGTGTGTATTTGTGGGGGGGCAGTCTGTGTGTGTATAGGTCAGTCTGTGTGGGGGGGCAGTCGGTGTGTGTATAGGTCAGTCTGTGTGGGGGTCAGTCGGTGTGTGTGGTTCAGTCTGTGTGGGGGTGGGGGCGGGTCAGTCTGTGGGTTTGTATTGGTCAGTCTGTGTAAGTGCCTGAGCTCCAAGAGAGATACCTCTCATCTTGTAACCTCCCCTGTACTCGATGGATAGGCAGCCTTCTTAACCACCACAGAGCTGACTGTGCCACCCCTTCCCTGCAAGGTAAGATAAGAGAAAGGGGAATATTCTTTTTTTTTTTTTTTTTACTCTTATTAAAGAACACAGTACAACCTCACAAACAACAGTGAACCCCCCATATACAGTACACTCCCACCCACACAGAGTACACCTTTGCATACACACACAGTGCACCCCTCACGCACTTCATCCCACACATCATCTCTTCACCCCAAGTACATTTACCCCTCACACACATACATACATACACACCCCATTACATGCACACATACACACTACAGCTCCTTGATAAGCACACACAATGCAACCCCTTAATACACATACACCCACACTGCAGTCCCTAGATGCATACGCACACACTTTACCAGCCCTCTGAGCACACACACAAAAGCTCCTATACGTGAGCATGTGCTCACACTACAGCCCCTAGTTACACATAGTACACCATAAACAGACTCCTATATACACACACAGCCCCTTCTAAACACCATTGAAAATGATCTTGCATCTCCTGAAAAGGTTTTCCAGTTTCCGAGAAAAGGTGTCTTGCCTGATATAAGGAAGGTGTAGTGGTGGAACTACAGGCAGTACTAACACCGGGGCCCATCAAGTGGCAAATGCACTTGGGACATGTGTCTTCAGGGGCCTAAATCAATTTTTGTTGCAGAAAGAGGCCTAAAAATGGTCTCCCAGTTTTCCCACAGCCACAGCATTCAGTTCCAGGTAGGCTTGCTTCAAATACTTAGCATGACAGAGTGATGTGTATGTGCCTGCTACTGAGTGAGCTTGTGTCTGTCAGTGAGCTTGTCTGAAGTAAGCTTGTGTGTGTTTCAGTGAATTTGTCTGTAGTGAGCACGTGTGTTAGTGAGCTTGCCTCTAGTCAGCATGTGTCAGTGAGCTTGTCTGTAGTGAGCATGTGTGTTAGTGAGCTTGTGTGTGTATCAGTGAGCTTATCTGTAGTACGCTTGTGTGTGTTACTGAGCTTGTCAGTAGTGAGCATGTGTATCAGTGAGCTTGTTTGTAGTAAGCTTGTGTGTGTTACTGAGCTTGTCAGTAGTGAGCATGTGTGTCAGTGAGCTTGTCTGTAGTTAGCATGTGTGTTCGTGAGCTTGCCTCTAGAGAGCTTGTGTGTGTCATTGAGCTTGTCTGTAGTGAGCATGTGTGTGTTAGTGAGCTTGTGTGTGTATCAGTGAGTTTGTCTGTAGTGAGCTTGTGTGTTAGTGAGCTTGTCTGTAGTAAGCGTGTGTGCATCAGTTAGCTTGTTCACTCCCCACATTGGCCAGTTTTAATGTTTCCTGCGCAAAGGGTTGACAAATCGCAGATGCGAAGGCGAAATCTCTAGTCGCCATGGCGCCTGTGATTTGTTGAGCCCTGTGTATGTATGTATGTGTGTGTGTGTGTATATATATATATATATATATATATACATATAGAGTTCAAGTAGAGATTGTAGCCATATTAGTCCAATAAAAAAGGTATTACAAGTTAAAAATTTTAGCTGGTTTTTACATATGTGTATATATATATACAGGGAGTGCAGAATTATTAGGCAAATTAGTATTTTGACCACATCATCCTCTTTATGCATGTTGTCTTACTCCAAGCTGTATAGGCTCGAAAGCCTACTACCAATTAAGCATATTAGGTGATGTGCATCTCTGTAATGAGAAGGGGTGTGGTCTAATGACATCAACACCCTATATCAGGTGTGCATAATTATTAGGCAACTTCCTTTCCTTTGGCAAAATGGGTCAAAAGAAGGACTTGACAGGCTCAGAAAAGTCAAAATAGTGAGATATCTTGCAGAGGGATGCAGCACTCTTAAAATTGCAAAGCTTCTGAAGCGTGATCATCGAACAATCAAGCGTTTCATTCAAAATAGTCAACAGGGTCGCAAGAAGCGTGTGGAAAAACCAAGGCGCAAAATAACTGCCCATGAACTGAGAAAAGTCAAGCGTGCAGCTGCCACGATGCCACTTGCCACCAGTTTGGCCATATTTCAGAGCTGCAACATCACTGGAGTGCCCAAAAGCACAAGGTGTGCAATACTCAGAGACATGGCCAAGGTAAGAAAGGCTGAAAGATGACCACCACTGAACAAGACACACAAGCTGAAACGTCAAGACTGGGCCAAGAAATATCTCAAGACTGATTTTTCTAAGGTTTTATGGACTGATGAAATGAGAGTGAGTCTTGATGGGCCAGATGGATGGGCCCGTGGCTGGATTGGTAAAGGGCAGAGAGCTCCAGTCCGACTCAGACGCCAGCAAGGTGGAGGTGGAGTACTGGTTTGGGCTGGTATCATCAAAAATGAGCTTGTGGGGCCTTTTCGGGTTGAGGATGGAGTCAAGCTCAACTCCCAGTCCTACTGCCAGTTCCTGGAAGACACCTTCTTCAAGCAGTGGTACAGGAAGAAGTCTGCATCCTTCAAGAAAAACATGATTTTCATGCAGGACAATGCTCCATCACACGCGTCCAAGTACTCCACAGCGTGGCTGGCAAGAAAGGGTATAAAAGAAGAAAATCTAATGACATGGCCTCCTTGTTCACCTGATCTGAACCCCATTGAGAACCTGTGGTCCATCATCAAATGTGAGATTTACAAGGAGGGAAACAGTACACCTCTCTGAACAGTGTCTGGGAGGCTGTGGTTGCTGCTGCACGCAATGTTGATGGTGAACAGATCAAAACACTGACAGAATCCATGGATGGCAGGCTTTTGAGTGTCCTTGCAAAGAAAGGTGGCTATATTGGTCACTGATTTGTTTTTGTTTTGTTTTTGAATGTCAGAAATGTATATTTGTGAATGTTGAGATGTTATATTGGTTTCACTGGTAATAATAAATAATTGAAATGGGTATATATTTGTTTTTTGTTAAGTTGCCTAATAATTATGCACAGTAATAGTCACCTGCACACACAGATATCCCCCTAACATAGCTATAACTAAAAACAAACTAAAAACTACTTCCAAAAATATTCAGCTTTGATATTAATGAGTTTTTTGGGTTCATTGAGAACATGGTTGTTGTTCAATAATAAAATTAATCCTCAAAAATACAACTTGCCTAATAATTCTGCACTCCCTGTATATGTATATACTCATATATATATATATATATATATATATATATATATATATATATATATACACGTTTTATGACTCCCCCCTTACTTGTGTCCCTGGCCCCTCATGTGCCCCCTCTAAATATGAATCCTGGATGTGTATGAATGTGTGTCTGTCTGCCTGTAACTGTGTGTATGTGTGTGTGTGTGTGTGTGGGGCTGTCTGCCTGCAACTGTGTCTGCCTGTAACTGTGTGTGTGTGACTGTCTGCCTGTGACTATGTGTGTGGCTTCCTGCCTGTAACTGTCTGTCTGCCTAAACTGTGTGTGTGACTGCCTGTAACTGTTTGTGTTATGACTGTCTGCATGTAACTGTGTGTGTGACTGTTTGCCTGTAACTGTGTGTGTGTGTGTGTGTGTGTGCGACTGCTAGTAACTGTGTCTGTGTGTGTGTTTGTGTGGCTGTCTGCTTGTAACTGTGTATCTGCCTGTAACTGTGTGTGTGTGTGTAACTCTGTAACTGTGTGTGACTGTCTGTAACGGTGTGTGTCTGCCAGTAACTGTGAGTGTTTGACTGTCTGTAGTTCTGTGTGTGTGTGTGAGACTGTATGTGGCTGCCTATAAATGTGTGACTGTATGCGTACGACGTAAAGATTGTAACTGTGTGTTTGACTGTGCGCAAGTGGCTATGCGTCTGGGACTATGTGCATGTGGCAATATTTGACAGTATATGTGTATAACTGTATGCATCTGACTGTATGTCTAACTGTGGGACTGTGTGCATTGACACTGCAAAAATACACACTAGCATTTACACATAGGCCAACATGCATTTTAAAAAAATCTAAATTAAATACCCCTACACAAAACACTGCATCCTTATACATATACAATACATGGACAAGTGGGTGTTACCGGGGGTGTTGGGGGGGGTGGGGGGGGAAGCTTTGTGAACATTTTTTTGCACAGGGCGCTTAAAGCTGGCCCTGGTTATAAGCCAATGACAATACACTATAAAGTATACCAAACCCTCGAAATACCCCTAAAAACACATGTAGAACACAAGTCACAGGCAGAAATCAGTGGAAAAACATTTATGCTGGAGACACCCTTGTCACTAGTATAAAGGGCATTTGAGCTGCAGCCTTGAAGCATTATTCTTCTGTTAAATCAAAGCAAGAGGTGGACAATTGGGAGGCATACTAGCAGAATACTACTGGGGTGAAGCAACCGTAGGAGTTGTGCGCATGGCCTTCGCTAGTTTGTCATTGTGCAGGTTTGTGCTTGATCTGGTAGTCCTTAATCTGTTTTATTGATAGTAATAAAATAATAAAACTAAACATTCAATCATTCAGGCATGCACAGATTTCTGTGACTAATCCATCATGTTGTACAGGTCATACTGATGGAGGATCCAGAGATATAAGATGTCATACCTAATGACCTCCATCTGTCAAACCCATACATTATTTGCTCTGTGAATGCACAGCCACCTACAAACAGTTCTGTAATATTTGTGTGCAAATGAAGATCATTAGGGTGAAAAAAAATTCGAGTAAGAAAGAAAATGATTCTGCTTCGGCAATTCGGACCAATGGCATTCGGTTCGGTTCGGCACTTCCAAAATTCGTGACTTTGGAACTTCAGCAATTCAGAACTTTGGTAATTTGGATCCTAACCCTAAACCCTAAACCCTAACCCTACCCTTAACCCA